GATTTTTCACTTTCCTTTTTTTTTTTTCTTTCCTTCTCTTGTCCTTTTTGCTTTCTTCACCGGCTACCTCATGGCCAATACCTTTTTCTTTTAGCTAAATAATTCAAAAAGAATTTTTCTCAAGTAGACACCCATTGATTTTTGAGAGCTTTTTTAGTAAATCCATTATCTAAGAGTTTTGTTCCAAGAAACCCATACTGTTTTATAATATTCCATTAGGTCCATTTTATACAAAAAGACCAAAAAAGCCCTAAAAAAACACGCGCCCCTCTCTCTCTCTCTCTCTTTGAATCTAATAACCATTTCTCTTCCCCTCTCTATTCTTGCGCAAGAAATCACGCACAGTACCTCTACAGTCCAGAAATCCAAACCATATTCCACATCGCCTCGACGCCCCGAAGACTGTATTCCTTCCATCGTTGCATCGTCGCATCGTCTCATCATCTTCTCCCCATCCCTACGCCGAGAAGCCTGTCTTCGTTCGATCGTCACATCGTCTCATCATCTTCTTCGCCGTTCGTACGCCCAGAAAACTGTATACGTTTCTTCGTCGAATCGTCCCTTCGTCTCAACATCTTTGTCGTCGAAATGGGCAAAAAACGTAAGAATTCATTTATTCTGAACCCCTCAATCGTAATCCCTAAATTTTTTCATTTTTGCACTCAAAAACATTACACTTGCCATTACATTGTGTTCACAACTGTCAACAATCGAAAATGTTCTAGTTGTAGTTGTTGTTATTGAAAAATGTGAACATTCACATTGATTGGAAATGGTTTGATGATCAAATTATTCCAGATGTTACCCCGTTGTTGTTCAATGCTGTGACCATTCACATGGTTTCAAAAATTTTTTGGACAGTTCTTTTTTTGTTGCTGTTGGTAACAGATCTGAACATTCACATTGAGTTAAAATGTTTGCGTAATCAGGTATTAATGGTGTTGTTGTTGTATGCTGTGAAAATTCACAGGCATTGACACACTCTGGCCAATTCTGTTGTTGTTCTTGTTGTTGGAAGATGTGAACATTCACATTGCCTGAACATTGTAGGACAATCAGATATTATTGGTTTATGTTGTTATAGGCTGTGAACATTCGCATTGCCTGACAATTTTTGGCCAGTCAGATATTTTTGGTGTTGTTGTTCTATGCTGTCAACATTCACATTTGCTGGAAATTTTAGGAGAGTCAGATGTCGGTGGTGTTAATGTTCTACGATGTGAACATTCACATTGCCTGAAAGTTTCAGTTCAATCAGATATTATTGGTGCTTTTGGGCTAGTCTGTGAACTTTCACATTGTCTGGAAAATTTGCCTGAAAATTTAGGACATTCAGATATTATTGAACTTTCACATTGCCTGAAAGTTTTAGTTCATTCAGATATTTTTGATGCTTTTTGGCTAGGCTGTGAACATTCACATTGTTTGAAAATTTGCCTGAAAAATTTAGGACATTCAGATAGTATTCGTGTTGTTGTTCTATGCTGTCAACATTCACATTTCCTTGAAATTTTAGGAGAGTGAGATGTCGGTGGTGTTAATGATATACGATGTGAACATTCACATTGCCTGAAGGTTTAAATTCGATAAGATATTATTTGTGCTTTTGTTCTACTGTGAACATTCACATTGTCTGTAAAATTTGCCTGAAAATTCTAACAATACAGATATTATTGGTGTTGTTGTTCTATGCTATCAACATTCACATTTGCTGGAAATTTTAGGAGAGTCAGATGTCGGCGGTGTTAATGTTCTACCATGCGAACATTCACATTGCCTGAAAGTTTTAGTTCAATCAGATATTATTGGTGCCTTTGGGCTAGGCTGTGAACATTCACATTGTCTGTAAAATTTGCCTGAAAATTTAGGACAGTCATATATTATTGGTGTTCTTGTTCTACGCTGTCAACATTCACATTTCCTGGAAATTTTAGGAGAGTCAGATGTTGGTGGTGTTAATGTTTTACGATGTGAACATTCACATTGCATGAAAGTGTTACTTCAATCAGATATTATTGGTGCTTTTGCTGTAGGATGTGAACATTCACATTGTCTGAAAAATTTTAGTTGAGTCAGATATTATTGGTGCTGTTGTTCTACGCTGTGAACATTCAAATTGCTTGAAAATTTTAAGAGAGTCAGATTTTATTTGTGCTGTTGGTCTATGCTGTGAACATTCACATTCCCTGACGATTTTAGGACAATCAGATATTATTGGTCATGCTCTTATATGCTGTGAACATTCACATTGCCTGAAAATTTTATACATGCTCTTCAACGATGTTCATGGTTGTATAAAAATGCATTGTTTACCACACACTGGCACGATATGTTCATTGTGTTTGTCGTGACACAGTCGAAATACACATTCATGTACCTATGTGAATGTTCACAACCACACACAAACTCTGATGATTCACACCCACGCACACAACTGTGAACATGCACACCAGTGGAAATGCTGTGAATGTTCACATCTGTTCCACTATGCTAATCACATGAGCCTTCACTTAATTTTTTTTAAATGCTCCATTTTGCAAACGTCGCACACAAGAAAACCGGAAAGGGAAAAAGAGATGAGTCCCATGTGAAGGAAGAAACCCCAAAAACAAATACTTGCACCAATGTCGACAAGCGCCATGTGAACTACAGATCTAATATGACAGGACTGGTCAAATTAATGAAAACCACCAAGTTCACAGAAGCACAGCTTCGCTGCCTTCGACAAACCCCTTTTTGGAATTTGTTTGATGCATTGAGAAACAATCAAATCGACCTGGATAAATGCATGAAGTATGATGATGTTGTTGTGCATGTACTACAAATGTACCAAGCTTCAGAAGATGCCTTCTACATTGGGCAGAAGAAGATGAAAATACACAACAGCGACATCAAGCTGATTTTCGGTGTGGACTGTGGCAGCAAGCCAATGGACATAACATACGGTGCGAAACCAAAGACTGGCATTGTAAACAGAAGATGCAAAAACGTAAGCCGGTTGACTTCAAAATGGATACAAACCCTTTTGACCGAGGCATTGAAAGGAAAAAAGAAAGATGACAACGAAGAAGTTGCCCGACTAGTGTGCATGTATGCTTGCCAGGAGCTGCTGCCACTGTGTTGTTCTCCCTTGATGTCAGAAATGTTGGGACATTTTCTGCCTGGTTCATAAATTTCAGGCTCCACCTTCAATGTTTTACGCTTGAACTTTTGTAATTCTGTTGGGATTGCAAAGAGTTCACCTGCATTAACCTGGAAATGAAAAAATTATGTTAATTAACGCATATATTTGGGTGGTGTTATAATGTGAATGTTTTGATCACTAGTTGAAGGCCCTACCTCATTAAAACCCAAATCTGCTAAGGAGATGGTTTTCATCTTCTTCTGCAAAGCAGTCAGATCCCACTTCACACAGCGAGGAAAAGCATTGGGTCTGTGAGGTTGTAGGATGGTTGTGTGCTCACACAACCAATACTTCAATAAAACAAGAAACACATATTGTTATTTAGCATTTGCATAGTAATGGTAACCTATGTGAATATTAATCACAGTGGCATTGTTGTGAACATCCCAGTAGTACATTATCATTGAATGTGAACATTCACACTGTTCACATTTGAATCACTGATGTGAATGATGACATCCACTCATAACATACTACTGTGCATGTTCACAACAGTGCCACAGCACTTATGTTTCTGTCATCATTCACATCAGTGATTCAAATGTGAACATTGTGAATGTTCACATTCAATGATAATGTACTACTGGGATGTTCACAACAATGCCACTGTGATTAATGTTCACATAGGTTGCCCTTACTCTGCAAATGCTAAATAACAATATGCGTTTCTTGTTTTATTGAAGTACTGGTTGTGTGAGCACACAACCGTCCTCCAACCTCACAGACCCAATGCTTTTCCTCGCTGTGTGAAGTGGGATCTGACTGCTTTGCAGAAGAAGATGAAAACCATCTCCTTAGCAGATTTGGGTGTTAATGAGGTAGTGCCTTCAACTAGTGATCAAAACATTCACATTATAACACCACCCAAATATATGCATTAATTAACATAATTTTTTCATTTTCAGGTTAATGCCGGTCAACTCTTTGCAATCCCAACAGAATTACAAAAGTTTAAGCGTAAAACATTGAAGGTGGAGCCTGAAATTTATGAACCAGGCAGAAAATCTCCCAACATTTCTGACATCAAGGGAGAACAACACAGTGGCAGCAACTCCCATTTTTCTGGGGATGGGGTAGACCTGAAGGACAGTGATGAGGACATTCACATTCCATTTAGCAGCCAACATTATGACAGAGCTATTGTAATACCAGACACAAACCAACCTGATATCATTGATGTCCTTATCTAAGAAAATCGGAAGGCTTGGGGCGTCATAAGGCAATGGGAAGCAAAGTACAAACACCTTCAATTTTCATGGGAGTTGAGGGCAAGAGTCATAGCTGATCTTGAACATAGATTGTTTAACCAGTCCAGCCCGCCTAACGTGAATATCGAAATGAAGAAGTGCATGGAGCAGAAGGATAAAGAAATCAAACGCTTAACGCTGGTCATCGACTTAGAATGCGATAAAACAATTCTTCAGGATCTTTACGATGACCAGTCAGTCCACATTGTCACACAGGCTATGTCAGAAAGGCAACCCCCTAGCCCAATGCAACACAATATCAGCCCACCTTCTAGGGTCAAGCATATAAAGGAAAAAGATCGCAAAGAACATCGCCTACCTGACTTCTAATACCCAGACTTACCTGGCCAAAAGCAGCCCCATCCAGTCGAAATGGTTGAAGATGTGGAGAAACACCCACCAGCGAAGCAGCCAAAAAAATTATCCTTTACCAACAAGTTCAAAGTCTGGGCCAAGATGTCCAAACATGACAAACAAAAGGTCCAAGCTTTACAAAAAAAAAGAGGCGATGAGTAAGTGACTGTGCAAACATCCAATGTTAACATTCACATTCCGTAATAGTCGGAACACCCACCAGCGAAGCAGCCAAAAAAATTATCCTTTACCAAGAAGTTCAAAGTCTGGGCCAAGATGTCCAAACATGACAAACAAAAGGTCCAAGCTTTACCAAAAAATGGAGGCGATGAGTAAGTGACTGTGCAAACATACAATGTTAACATTCACATTCCGTAATAGTCTATATTTCTCACTGTGTTCAGTTTTTTTGGGTTGTTGAGATATATGCAATGTGAATATTTACATTGGTTTGTTAATAATGCACAGGCTGCTGGTGTGGAAAGGAGATTCGAAGGCTACACATGTGTATTTTGATGACATTGTCAACCTTATCAAGGAGGAATCAATACACAGCAATGTATGCCATTACAAATATAATTCACTCTTTATGCATATGCACACACATACACACACACACTCACATCCACAAAATCTATATAATATGACCCCATGTTTGTGCAGCTCATAGATGCATATGCTGAACTGTTGCATGAACAACAAGAGGTGGTCAACCCAACTTCGGATGAAGCCTCATTGATCTTCACGAGCATGTGTTTGGTAAAATCTATCATTCCATTACTTGTAATGTGACTGTGAAACTTCACAGTCCATTAATTATTTGTCAAATGTGTACAGAAAGTGATACGAGAGTACCATCCTCGTAAAAGGAGTAAACACATTGACGCATATGTCAGAAACTACCAAGAAGAGAGATACCTACTATTCCCATTGCATCATGAGTACCACTGGACGATAGTTGTGTATGATGCTAAAGAAAATTTGTGGAAGCATTACAACTCGTTGCGCCCAAGACCAGGCATACATGACCCGCATATCGACCAAGCACAAGAAATTGTAAGTGGCTATTTTTCAACACAAACATGACTTGTTCTCGTGCATTAAATGACTGTACACACACATATGTTTGTTGGTCCCTAATGTGAAATTCCATACACAGAGGAACTACATTGAGCATGTTGTGACCGTTATTGGCGAGTCATCACCGCTACACACTAAGTTAGCAGGCCAAAATCCAGCACAACCAACCAAAAGTGTTGATGTCTGTCCTCAACAAGGCGACGACTCGTAAGCCTCACTAAATTTTTTTTCAAATCCTCCACAACCATTATGCAAATATTCCTGTCAACTGCTAATCAAAACCATTTCACATTTACAGAGTGGACTGCGGACCTGCAGTATGTTACATCATGCGGGCGCACGTATATCATGAAGAAATTGTGGGCAGCCTCAGTAGTACAGAATGGTGTGGACTACGAGATTTGTTAGTGCATAGTTTTTTGAATCATAAGAAATCAGAGTTTCCTTAAAACCTATAGGTGGGGGGTGTCCACCTACGAACTAACCAACAGTCGATTTGAATGTTAATATGGAATGCGTTGATATTTTGACACAGCAACTGATTGTAAAACAGTGATACAACATCTGTTAATAGGAAAAAGGCAGCTGCGAATTTTGAACTACTTTTGGTGTTGTTATGTTTTACATATGTGAATGTCCACAGTTGTACCACTAATGTGAATGTTCACAGTCACGTACGATATGCATACTGCTATGTTGTTGTGAGAAAAATTTCTGCGAATGTTTGAACCTGACTGTTGTTTAGTACACATACTTTGTGCAGGAGTGTACACTTGGTCTACGTGACATAATTACGGATCACATACACATGTGTGAATATTCACATTTGTGGTTGCTCATAGCAATTGTAAACACTGATGTGAATGTTCACACTCACGTATGATATTCATAATGCCGTGTTGTGATGAGCATTCACTTATGATATTCAAATGCATCTGCACTAATGTTTACATTCACTTACGATATTCATATGCACTAATGTTTACAGCTATGACTGTTCACAGTTTCAACACTGATGTGAATGTTCATAATCACTTATGACATTCATAATGCCGTGTTTTGATGAGCATATTTGATGCGATTTGTGGAACTAGTTTTCAATGTAACACACATACCTTGTGCAGGAATGTACACATTGTTTGCATGACATCATTACGGGTAACATGAACAGGTGTGAATATTCACATTTCTTTACATTCGTAACAGTTGTACATGTTCACACCATGTCAATCTTCATGAATGTGAAAGTTCACATCACATCTTGTATTCATGTCAACATTGACAACAATAAGGTAAAAACGTCCAACCCATGTGCAAGTTTTCACATAATATGATTCGTTTACGTAAGTGTGAATGTCCACATCATGTATTTATCATTACAACTTTAACAAAAAATCAGTTTCGTACAGAAAAAGAAAATGAAAAGGCACAAATGAAATACTAAGTTTGCCAAACCATTATTTTGCTTGCCAACACAACACAATCTTATTTGTGAAATGAATATAAGAATCCAATGTAAAACACAACGTTAAAATGAAAAATGTACATCCTATATCGGCTCCTTGCATGACTTCCGATTATGGCTCCCCAGCTTATCACATCTCCCGCACCTTATTTGCTTAAGTTTCTCACCCCTTGATGGGATCCTATTCTTTTTCGGCCTTCCGGGTGGTCTTTTCACAGTTGGCGGGTATATAGTGAAGTCCATGGGATCAAAAGACGGCTTCTCCACCGATGGTATAGGGAATATGGCACCCGAATACGCTCCACGATATGTCTGTACATGAAAGTAATGTTCCACACAATCATTGAGATTGTAGCGGCTCTTCTGAATGGCAACAACAGCATGGTCACATGGGAATCCGTTGATTTGCCATTTGAAGCACGAACATGTACGCCTCGCAACATCAACAGTGACAGATGGTATCGAATGTACTTCAAACACATTCTCATTGGCTTTGCTAACTTGCCAAGACCTGCTGTTATTGAACGAATCCATAAGCCTTGTTTCAAATGTAGGACAAATAAGCTCATTCCATTTGTTTGCTTGGTCACGCCGTGCAGACATTTGCCGCATCAACTGAGTACGAATTGTGTCCACCATTTGAGTGATAGGAAGATTACGCGCTTCTTTAATCCAGTTATTAAATGACTCCGCCGCATTGGAAGTCATCTCCCCATAACGCATGCCCCTGCACAATATCACAAACATTTTACACCCCGAAAGTTAACAGGTTTGAACACTCACGTTGACTGATGTGAACATTAACACCATTCGCAGTGGACATTAACATCAACTTACACGATGCACAGATGTGAACACTAACATCAACTTAAATGACAGAATGATGTGAATGTTAACAACAGCAAAATATGACAACTTGTTTGAACATTCACATCATTCAAATGAGTCATTGCTATCAGATGTGAACATTCACATCACTGACATTGAACATGAAACACAATTGGAAGATTTTTACAAATCGTAACTGATAATTCACATCGCTACCATTTTGACTTGCCCAATGGAACACTTTATGAAACTGTTATTACCTGAAGTATGAATTTGCCCAGTGCTCAGGTGCCAAGTCCTTGAAAAAATCATGTGCTCGTTGTTTACCCTCCTCTGTTAATTTTGCAAGCTTTTCATAGAACCCTACCACAGTTGGCTCATAAGCACAATCACCCAAACTACTTACTAGGTGATCCCTGAAGCCATTATCAATTCCTTTCATCCGGTCTCTTAAATTGCTCTTCAAGTGTTGTAAGCAATAACCGTGATGACCCGATGGGAACACCTTCGGCATAGCTTCTAACAAGCCAAGATTACGATCCGAAATAAAAGTAATCTGACGGTTACCATCAACAACCTTCCCAAGTTCATGCAAGAACCACGACCAATTCGCCGTGGTCTCCGAATCAACAACCGCAAATGCAACAGGAAACAGACCTACAACACAACACCAATACACAACTGTTCACAGTATTCCAAAATGAATAGAAAACAATATAAACGAAACAGGTCATGTGAATGTTCAGCAATTGATAATGTGAACATTCACATTAACGCCCATCAATAATTCATTTTTGATTGTTCAGCAACTGATAATATGACCAATCACAGTAATGCTCATTAACAGATCAACTGACAGTAGTATACACTGATGTGAATGTGAATGTTCACATAACTATCATTAGCAGGCACAGATGTACAATACTGTGAATGGATCAATGTAAAATAATGTGAATGTTCACATTACAGGCATCAGCAGACACAGATGTGAACATTCACATCAGTGCATACTAATGTGAAACACAATTGGAAGATTTTTACAAATCGTAACTGATAATTCACATTGCTACCATTCTGACTTGCCCAATGGAACACTTTATGAAACTGTTATTACCTGAAGTATGAATTTGCCCAGTGCTCAGGTGCCAAGTCCTTGAAAAAATCATGTGCTCGTTGTTTACCCTCCTCTTTTAATTTTGCAAGCTTTTCATGGAACCCTACCACAGTTGGCTCATAAGCACAATCACCCAAACTACTTACTAGGTGATCCCTGAAGCCATTATCAATTCCTTTCATCCGGTCTCTTAAATTGCTCTTCAAGTGTTGTAAGCAATAACC